AGGTGCCACGTACCGGGTGAGTAGGTGGGATCCGCGACGCACGGATTAGTCCAATGAGAAATTAGAACGGCGGAAGTAGTAGGCCAATGGGAGATTGTAGTTTAGTGAAGGAAAGTTTGAAGAGGAGAGTTGATTGTTTGAAGGACTGGTGACTGGAAAGAGACGTTGGTCATCACATGCTACCCTGACACGTGAACATGCGGGGAAAGCTGGCCTGCAGGCTTAGTCGGCACGCCGAAATTCTGATACGTAACGGGCACTAAAGTGTTCGTCGCAACGTCTATGTGGCAGTCCAGCCGTAGCCGTAGTAGCTCGTGGAAGTGCCCGCTAGGAGCGGAAGTGCCATGCTGACGCAGCGCCTCGCTTGGCGTTCAGTATTTAGGAGGGCAAGGCCTGATCGACCCTGAGTTCTCAGAAGGAAGGTATGATCGGTGGGCCGCAAGGTGAGGGTGTGTGGATAGCCCGTGAGGATGATCGGAGCGCAACCGATCGAAACACGTCGGGGAATGTGCGCGTGTGCTGAGATGAATATGCGCTGTTATGTATTGACGAGCATTCGAAGCGTGTACGAAAGGCAGTTGGCCACTGTTTCCACTATTCTGTGTAGCATGGTAATCGGATGAGAGGAGATACTCACACTGGTGGCTGTGTCGACGACTCGTTGGCTCGTTGTTCTTCACGAGATTCTTCACGAGATTCTTCACGAGATTCTTCACGAGAGTTTTCAAGCAAGGTTGCAGGAACGACGAGATTGGCTGTAGGCAACGGCGAGACAAGGGCTACAGCAAGATAGTTGCGCCAAGGCATTTCAGTGGCAAGCGTCTGCTGAAGTTGTGGATACTAAGCGTGATTCGAGGGGACCAGTCACTGGACTTCGGGCAGTAACAGCATGGCGTCATTGGGCAATGCAGGGACCGGAGCTGGCGGGGCAAGTAGCTCGATCATCTGCTTCAATTGCAACCAGGCTGGCCACATGGCGAGAGACTGCCCAGTGGGGAAGGGGCAAGGCACCTTCACCAACAATGCGAAGTATTGGCAGTCAAGAAAGGAGAATGAAGATAGCATAAACCGAGTGGTGAGATGGGCAGATTACAAGATGCAGAAGGAAATGGAGAAAGAGGAGAACAAAAAGGCGGACGAGGAGAGAAGAAGGGTAGAAGCGGAGCGCAGAAAGCAGCAAATGGAGGAAGAGAGGCGGGATGAGAAGATTCGAAGGATGATGTTGGAGGAGTGCGACCGAAGAGATAGGAAAATTGAGGAGGCGGAGCTGAGAACGATTGCTGCAGTATCAAGGGACCTACGGAACTTCCGAGCGGAGATAAGAACAGAAATCCAGATGGCGTTAGCTGTAAACTCCAAGACTCCGAAACGGGATAGAGAGGCGTTCGCGAACGGACTCGATACTTACCTTACGGAGGAAGAAGTCCTGACGGATGATGGATCGAAAATACCACCGAAGAAAGCAAGAGGGAAGCGAATAGCAAAGAATTACGCAGCACCGGATGACTGGGAGGAAGAATCACGAGTTATGTCAAGGGCGGACTACGAGAAGAGCCTGAGGCGGAAGGCCAGCACGCCGATGAAGAACAGCTCGTAGGTAAAGAGTACCCAGCATCGTGCAGTAAAGGGAACATGGTGGATAACATCCTGGATACTAGGTCCAGGCTGATGGCGAAGGAATGGCGAGAAGTGAAGAAGCTTTGCGAGGCGAGAGATATTACCTATATTTCTAAAGAGCAAGGTGTACGTGAGCTTCTCAACAGAGCAGCATGGGGCGAAGACGTCGAGCTGTTGGACGAGACTTGGGAGCGTAAAGACATTCAGGTTCAATGACGGTCTGCGCCCCCAACAAAGCTCATCTGGGCTTGTATTGTCATTCTCCTGTCATTAAGAGAGACAATCTGGGGGCACACAGGGTTTTCGAAACTTAGGCTGGTCACAAAGAAGGCGTGTACCGCTTGTACGGTATTACTAACGTTAATGGGCCATATTCCGTGGGCGAAAAAGTTCTTGGACGTAGTGCCACGAAGCTGGAGTTGGTATGACTTCAGGCAACCTGTTGTATATTGTCTCGTTTCTTCATGGTGTAGGAAGGCTTACATTGGCAAGTCCATTAGAGGTGCCGCGGAAAGATGGTGGGAGCATGTTAGATGTACGGAATCAGGCACGGAAGGTAGGGCACCGCTGCTGTATAGATGGCTGAGGAGGTTTAGCTGGAACAATTATGTTGTTATTCCCATCGCCACTTCAGAAGTTAGTGGGTTGGAAAGCCTGGAAAGGACGCTCATCAAAAGATTCTCTCCGTCGCTTAACACCTTAGGGACGGGGATGAAAGGTAATCCCAAGAAGAAACCAGGAAGGAGGGAAAGGAGGGCAAAGGGTGGCAAGGATAGGGTAGATACGGAGGTAAAGCGGACTCGCGTTATTGTTTTCCGGACGGGTAGTTACTCACTAGGTAACACTAGCCTACGGATGATTCTGGAATCAGCCTATAAGGAGGGGAAGAAGCAGATCCGGATTAGCAGCGCTTGTGGTCAGGTATGGGGAGAAGATTGGTCGTTAGTCAGGAGATTATTCGGGACTTCGACAGTCGTAACACAGGTGGGGAAGATTGCCTTGTCCCACTCGAAAACCTGGTTCGAAGAGGGGGGTGATTTCTGGATTGCCCCTATCATTCTCTCGCAAAACGCCAGGGATAGAGGGAAAGGTTACCTACGACAACTCCTGGAGATGCCCTTCAAACGGAAGGAGCTATAAGTGACAAGCTCATGCACCTGTACAGCTGTGCTCGGTCGTTTAAGGAGAAGGAGAAAAGGAAGACGATCAAGGACTTCCTAGGAAGGGTAGTGGGAAGGAAGGCTGGCGTGAACATCCGAAAGCGATTAACAGTGCAAGTCAGATATAGCAAGGAAGTGAGGAAGAGCGGCATCAGAAACGTTCTGATCACGAAGATCGAGAGCTGTAGGCTACACCCCGCTATCGCGGGAATCGTCAAAAGGAAGTCAAGAATAGTTTGGAGGAGAAATAGGAACGTGGCCGAGATCCTTTGTAACTACAAGCAGCACAGTAGGATGTCGGAGTTGCCGTGTACGTGCAAGAACTACGACTTACCCTTAGTCAAGGGGCATGTGCTGGCAAGGATAGGGGATATCCCAGGACTGCCAGCCCTGGTGCTGAGCGTCCAGCCTAGAATCGAGACGACGGAAGAGGAAATCAGCAGCAGTCTGCGACTGGGCCTCGCATCTGTCTTAATGGGCAGTTAGGCGAGAAGCTGTCGGACCTCCGAACTGAAGATTGCCTCTCGGCAGAGCGGGATCGACGCTGCGACGCTGACGAAGGGATAGTCTACGCAGTCAGAAAGAAGTTCAGGGATCTGCTAATCACACAAGTGGACAGGAACGCGGGAGACCTCGTGCTGATGTGTCCATCGACATACCAGCACGGTCTGGATAAACTATTCTCCTTGAACGTAGCATATGATGAAGTCAGCAGCAGCGAAGCAGTGATCCTGAAGGAAATGAAGGTCGACTTTGAGAGCCGGGGACTACACAAGCTGGTAAACTGGAACCCGAAGGGGAAGATTGGTAACACGTACGTTCTGCCCAAGCACAAGGATCTAGAGAGATGGCGGCCCATTGCGCCCACGTGCAGCGAACCCACGACGACTGGCAGCCGCTGGGTTGCGAGAGCGCTCAACTATCTACTCGAGAAGCTACCTGGAGCGGTGCATTTTAACCTCACCGCTACCGCCAGACTCAAGCAAAACCTGAAGAAGGCAGAGACGAAGCTCCAGCAGTACGGCAAGGACACAATGACTATCAGTGGAGGTTTCGACATTAAGGAGATGTTTACATCCCTGCCGCACTCAGCGATCATGGAAGCGCTCACCTGGCTTCTGGGTGAATGGGAGAAGAAAGGTTACCAGAGGATCACGGTGTGCAAGAGGAGGAAGCAAGTCACTCTCGGCAGGAAGACGTATGGGAAAGGCTACGTCAAGCTGTCCTTCAGCTACATCCGGAGCTTCATTTCATTCGAGCTGCAGCATACCTACACCAAGTGCAGAGGAAAACTGCTAAGGCAGGTTATCGGAGTGCCAATGGGAAAGAACTCTAGCCCCCCACTGGCCTGCATACTATGTGCGAAGTACGAGGAAGGTTTCCTGAGATCGCTGGGAAGCGATCGGAAGCTTGTCCATGGGGTAAGGTTCATGGACGATGTGATGTTGGCAGTTGTGTGTAACCGAAGAAAGGGAAGCTCCATCGGCGAGGCGCGAGAGATCTTAAGGAAGTTCGAAAGTTGTTATGGGGATAAGCTTTCGTTGGTCCTTACGGACGACGGATCTAATACCATAGACTTCGTGGGGTCCAGGCTTACGACTGTGCCTGGGAAGACCCTATTCTTGTTGGAACCAAGGATCAAGAACAGACTGGATGTCCGGATGGGTGAAGTGCAGCAGAGCCTTGTCCACCGTTGTTTCCAGGACTTCATTTCTTACTCTCACAAGCGTGCAAAAATGGGTGCTATAATCGGTTGTCTTCACCGCATTCAGCAGATGGCAAACAGCGAAAGTACGAGCTCCTACGCCGGGGGTACCCCCCGGCGTTCTTCTTCAAAGCCTTAGCACGCTTTGCTAAGGCCACCAGCGTTCTCAGAGAGCCCTGGATTAGGCTGCTCGAGAACCTGGTACTGTGGAAGGA